TCAAACATGGTAGACCAAGCAACAGGCATCTCATTTAAAAGCAAGGATGTTGTCTTCCCTTGGAAGGAATGGGCTGTCAATTCATCTAAGGACAGCAGAGTTTAAGTAGAGGCTCATTACTGATGATAATTAGCCAGTGAACCTTTGGCTTGGCTTAGGTTGTGGGAAGCCTTGAAAAACTGCTCTGAGCTTTCAGTGGATGTGTAAGAGAAATAAACAGAAGTGACATTTGCAAGACCTGTGTAGAGGAACGTGTGGTGCTCAGACTGGGGCTTCTTCCCACGAATAGCAGTGAAAGCTTGCTGTCAGCAATGACAGCCAAAGGTCTGGATGCAAAATACAAAGACTTTTAATGGAGAAGCTGAAGCTGTCATTGGTCACTTTCATAGACAACTCACATTTTCTTCTGTGAGGGACAGTATGATGTTCCTGGATGCTGTTCAGCAGCAGCTAAAAGAGTCCTCTGGAAGGACGGTGTTTCAGCATGGGGTTTTGAAAGCAAAGACCTGACTAACCTGAGGAAGGAGATGTCCAGTGATGGATAATTTGCTGTGGGAAGTGGTTCTAGAATGTGGTCAGATTCACACTGATGATAACAAGGAAATGCCAGGAGAACCAGTGCTTGTTTGGATATGGGCAGCTTGGCTGGCTGGGGCAGATAGCACTGAAAGAATTTCCTATCCACGGCAAAATAACGGGACCAGAAAGTTAACATTTTTGAGCTGCAGATGCAGTTGTTGTTTGACGGTTCTGAGCTATTTCCTTGCTCCCATCCATCACACCGTTGACTGGCTCATTTTTTCCCCCTTCCAGTTTTTGTAGAACTAATCTGTTAAGTTCTGTGGAGTTGATCTTGGCTCATGGCTCACACCCCACATCTGTTTTTCTAGGCCTTACCATCTGACTCAGAATGATTGCATTTTAACTTCTTCCCCCCTGCTACCGTCAAGCTTAAAAACGAAACAAAGCACTCCCACCACCATCAAGACATACCTGATGTCTGTGAAGGCACATGTCCCCTCACCTCCTGGTACTGAATAGTGAAAGGTTACCATAAGAATTTCAACTGCTTATTCATTATTCTTTAAGATGACACAGTGAGAACTGACAAGATAAATACAATTATTCTGTACGAGTGAATTTTCAAAGCTCTCCTCTTGGTTCTTATCCAAGATCCTTTGAAAGCACATCATCAAAGATAAGCACACATACTGACCAGTGGGACTTGCCATATTCTTAAACAGGGCATGACATTTATTCTACCTTTTGAAAGCAAGGCCTACTGTGTGTCTGAGTGACCAGCGACTTGCCAGAACCAGCCCCATGCACTGCAAGAAAGAGCAAACGTTCACACAGAATGCACTTTGTCTCTGAAGGTTCGGGCTTCCCCCCCAGCTTGAAACTTCTCAAACTATTAATCCTCTTTGAAAACTTAAGCTCTTAGATTCTTAACACCTTTCTGAATTTCAGTTAGGGTAATTGGAAGGGAAAAATACTGATTTCAGTGGGATAACTCCTATATTAGAAGTAACATGCTTAAGCAAGAGCATGTCTCTTGAGCACGTAGTCAGAGAAGCTCTGCTGAAACTGCAGATTCATGGCCTTCTGTTAAATTTGCTTAGATAGATCTGCAGTGGATATGCTTTCTACTGCTCTGCATCTGGTAAGACAGTTAATAAATACTTCTTTCAGCATCATCTTTCCCGTGGTATTCTGCCCATTCTAATTCTGCTGCTAGGCAGAACTCAGAAACGCAGGAATGTGAAAGTTAGAGGGAAGGTTTTGCCCCAAGTGCAAAACAGTCTGGACTCCAGTACACACTGCCTTGGTGTGGGAGTTAAACCCTGGAGGCCAAGAGAGAAGGACGAAGGCCATGGGTTAAGGCAGCTTCCTGGTAGGTCAACCTCCTTTTCCTAACCTAATTCTGAGCACTGCAGAATTGTGGGCACCTCTGCTGGATTAGCACCAAAGTAGGATGGCTACAGAACCGAAATGGTGGCAGGTGGAAAAAGAAAAGAAGAAGAATAAAAAGAAAAAAAGGAAATGACAGTTTGAAGACTGCTATTTGGTAACTTACACCAAAGAACAGAGAGGGAAATAGCTTCTCATAGAGGCAAACTAATAGGATTTGGAAAACAAGGTAAAGCCTTTAAACTGTTACACAGAGTAAGATCTCTGGTTGCAATTAGGAAATGTAGCTCAGTCAGGCATGGAGGCTTTTCCTTGCCAATGTCCGAGTCTTGTTTTGTCTGTGATAATTCCACATTCTACTTTTAAGAGACAGCTCATGCTTGTTGTTAGGTTCAATATATTAGGCTGTGCAGGCATATTGTGAGCCCTTAAATATACTGAGGGGGGGTGGGATGGGATTTTTTTTTACTGATGAACTTACTGAAGATAACATGTAAGCACTACAACTGATGATTAATTTTCAAACCTCTAGACAAATTAATTTTCTTGCTTAAGGAGAAAAAAAGCATCTCTAAAATATTTTGGCTGTGTTTGATATGCAAAAACCTGAAGGATCTCCAAAACAACCATCCTTTGCTATGAATGATGCCAAAATACAGCCTGTGTCAGCACCCAGGGCCAAAGTGGTGCTTGCAAGAAACACTGGCACTGATTTCAGCAGAAGCAGTCTCCAGGCTTGCTCTCTCTTGGTTTGCTATGGCACACACGTTTCTGTTGCAGAAACTCAGTGTCTGCACTCGCTCCATTCAGGTTTCCCTGTTCTATTCCCCATTCATAGCCCTTGCCAATAGTTAGCCCAAGAATCATTCGTGAGAATTAGAACAACAGTGGCAGCAAGTGAAACAATACAATTAATTTCCTGCAACAGCATCTTTACATATATCAACAATAAATGCCACAAAACGAGGAATTAATCCTCCCTGCCCTTAAACTCTGCTGACTTTAATCCTTACTGATGCAAATTCCCCACTCCTCCAAAGCAGAAAGCCCACAGATTTCCTTTGTTGAGACTCTAGAATGAACACAAGACGCCGTGTGCATGAGCTACCATAGAATCACATTGTGCCCAGTTCAACACAAGTAAGAAATGGAGGCAGAGCACATCCTCTCTACCAGGGTTTGGTTTGCACCCTTTGAGCTGTGTGACTTTTGCCACCGTATTTCAAAGAGGTGCTCCCAGAACACTGCACTGAAAAGAAAGTTTGAGAGCTGGAAAAGGAGCCAGGGTCTGTCATTCTTGCTTCTAGCCTGGCATCCCTTATCCGAGCTGCTGGGCTTGCTCCCAGCTCCAGTCCATTATAAGGCGTAATTGCAGCGTAAAGAACTGCAGTTGTTCCTTATAGCTCCTTATTGTATAAGCCTAGGTTAAAGAACAATCCATTCTTTACAGTTATTCCTGCAAAAGGCTGTGTCAAAACCAGAAAAACTGTCAGGCAGTACAGCTGCATTTGAACACCTCCCTCTTCCTTGGCTGCTGCAGGACAGAATTTGGAGAGACGACTGTTGTACAGACACTTGGATGCATTTTAGTGCAGTATAACACAGCAGGCCTCCTTGGAAGTGTGCATTCCTCACTTCAGTTGATCCAGAATTCCTTGTGTCTCCTTGCAGCAGGTGGCCCTTGAAGTCCAGAGAGCTCCAAGCCACCCTGCTGCTTGTAGTATGGACTTCTCTACTCCACCTTTCTTATTCTCCTTAAGCCCCTTATAGTCACTCCTTTCTCTCACATCCAGAATAAAAGTCCTTGAGACAATAGGTGTATCTTGGAAAAACTAAGAAACTCCAAAGCTCCAAACTTGGGGGAAAGCAGGTGGAAAGCAAGAGGAACGTATTTATAGTGTTAACCCAAGTGCAGCACTACACAAAATACCAAGAGGAAGACTTGAACATCATTTTTTTTTAACTGCAGATGGGCTGCATTAACCACAAAGGAAACACAAGAAGAGCTTATATCTGGAAGTAATAAAAAACATTTGCATAATGTACATGGTGCATTCAGTGCTAGCAGGAGGTGCTGCACGAACAACCCAACAGACTGGAAACTTCATTTGTCAATGGGAGTGCAAAACCAGAGATCTCCTTCCAAAAGCCTGACAGTTCTTACAGAGGGAAGAAGCTGGCTCCATCTTCCAAACAGACTCTGTTCCACCTTTCAGAGGGTATCCACAGCTTCCCTGCAATCTCTGCAATACGCAGCAACTCTTCTCAAGATTCCAGAAATACATACACAGAGAAAATTCATATGATTCAAACAATTAGGTTTTACGTCCTAAACCTGTGCTGAAAGTACAGCACACAAGTGCTGAAGTGATGGTGCAACAATCTGTCATGCAACAACTCCATAGGCTGGGTCTGAAAGCTGTGTCATTGCACTGATAGAAATCTGCTGGTGTAGCAATACCAGCCCTCCTGTCTGGACTAGCGCAGAGAATGCCAGCACAATTTCACTCCACTTTGTCTCCACCGTTCTATGCTGTACCTCTCACAATGGTTGAGGCTGTAATAAATCCCAACTGTTATCTCCTACAGGCAGTCAGCTGTGGATGGCTTAAGTCGAGAGAACTTAAAGTAACACCAAATGAATGATGCTGCTTTATCTACTGTCTTACCCCTCTTTTCTTCAGAGGATGACATGAGTAAGAATGGCTCCAACAATCCAGTGAGATACAGGATGACCCAAAGCTACTTCCTCACAAGCTGTTGCCATGCATAACATCAGGGCACAAACCTTCTTTAATATAAGTAATAAGGACATGTGTATTTTGGAGCAAGGGGAGCACGGCTGAAATTCTTCCCTTGCTAACATGCCGCACTGCTAAGCTGCTATGGCAGGCACCAGAAGCAATAAACGTAAAGTCAAAGGCATTGTAATGTAAGGAAAGGCTAGAGAAACCCAAACTGAGTTGTCATGATAACATAATCCAGAATTCATCATTTTTGCAATCAAAAAGGAACTACTGATACGCCAATTTCCACCCACAAATAGCTGCAGTTGAGGCTCCGAGTTTAAAAAAAGTTGAATGACTTACCATCTGTTGCACTGGATGGTTTTGGTCAGAGGTCCACAAAGGATCAGTTAGACAGCAATTTCTCCTGTTGATACAAAAACGAAAAGGTAAAAATCGCCTTGCCAAGCCCAGAAGGTAAGCACAAAGACACATTGTTTTAAATCACAGGAGAGCAGGTTGTGCTGGAACACATAAGGAACAAAGCAAATACAGACTCTTGGGGTGTTTAGACTACTGCCTGTCTGCCTTTTTCCAAGTTGGGTTGAATGAAAAAACAGTGTACAGAACGTTCAGGAATAATGCAGACATGCCAGAGCACAGTGAGCTGTTTAACCCAGGGAGACAGCCCACCTGCAGGTAAAGGTTCCAGGTGTTCAAAAGGCAATGAAGAGACACAACTCACAGTGTGGCAGAGCTGAGCCGGCTCACAGCTTCACAACAGCTAGCCCTTGTTCTGCTTTTCTCCACATCTCATGGGATAATGCCCAAGCCTCTTGGCAAATGGATCCATTGCAGTTTTCTATCTTTATCCTGGAGAGCTTCGCTCCTGGAGATGTGCTGGGAAAGACACGATCAGCAGCAGATGCCCCAGGTTTTCCCTGGATCCTTTTTGTTTGATTTTCTCCTGTGCCCTGAGCACCTCGTTTGCCACCAGAAATAGGCCTCAGACTCTCAATAACTTCAACCCTCACATTTCTTCCCCTTTGCCTGAATAGATTGCAGGTTGCCTTATGCACGGCTTACCTTTTATCTTCTGCAACAGCACCACTTACACCAGGGATCCTGATATCAGTCAGCAGAGAGATAAGGGGAGACTTCCCTTGTAGCAGTTACTTCCGATTTATCCAATTCTGGGACATATCCCAAGTATATTTGCCAAGCTGTGCTATAAGCACACATGAGGAGGCTCCACGAGGCAGGTCCCAGCTTCCCATCTCTTGGACCGCTTTGCCTCAGCAGCTCCCGAAGGTCTCAACCCAGTGGCTAAAAGGCAGGAGGGGAGCAAACAGCATTTGCTTTGTGTGACACAGAGGGCTGAGAAAATTTGAAAGACAAATTATTCAGAATAAAAAGCGGTGCAAAAACAGATTAGAAAACTACTGTGCTGTGACTATTAATGAAGCGATAGAAAATATCAATCACTCCCCAGCCTCTGAAGCTTGCTGCGAGAGAAGAATTAGGAGATTTTATGTTCCAAGTACCAGGAAACCGCAGGGCCCTGGTGCCTAGTTCTCAAAAGAACACTGTTTGAAACACGGGGAGGAAGGCAGCGCTGCAAAGACAGCCAAAGGGAAGGTTTAAAAATAGCAGCTTTCAGTTTTGCTTCTTTTTTTCCTCTTCTAAAGAGTCTGGATATAGGATCATGTCAGAGAGTGGATGAAGAGAGCAGACCAGCCCCTGAGGAGAGAGAAGTCCTCCCAAACACTGCACTGCTGGCTGGGGGGCTGTGCCCTGCTCGTGTTACCTTCCAGTCCAGGGCCCCTCAGAGAGGCAGGCTCCCTGCACCCCTGTTCCCTGAGCCCAAGAGAAGGGCACTTGTGGAGTGACATCTGGGCAGCTCAGCAAGCTCATCCGCTGAGACAGACAGCTCCAATGAGCAAAGCTAAGAGCTAAATGGGTGACTAAGCCTGCAGCATCCCCTTTTGAACAGATACAAAACCGATACAAAACCAAATCCTTAACACTAAGGATATTATTGAAATGCTGTGCAAAGAAAGGTTTACTAAAATGTCTGATTTACTAATGGTGTGTGTGTGAGTGCAGGAAGGGATCGTGTCTGGCTGCTGTATGCTGGCAAATGTGCTAAACCGAGGGAATAGGCACCTAAGTTCTGATGCTGATCAAACTTGTCCATGATCTTAATTCAGACTCTGTGCTATATGCCATTTAAAAGGCATATACCATATACCATTTACCAGGCTGGATCCAAAGCACCTATGGAAGCAACCAAAAGTAGAAGCTGGATTGTTGGTGCCTTAGACAGGTAAAGTAGACAGGAAAGTATCTCTTGAAATGGACAGCAATGTCAGGCAAGGTCTGCAAAAAGAAATCTAGTCACAACAGACAAAAGGTCAAAGCTCCTTTCTTACAGGGATGCAGGATGCCCCATAGGTCTTTGTGGAGAGAGAAGAAAGACACAGCTGATGCTCTAGGTGGCTTTTCCTACTGGAAGAATATACACCATGGAGCATTAAAAATGTGTCCAACGTGTAACCAATACATTTGACACTAAAGTTACTAAAAGAAAAGGCAACACAAAGCAGTGCTTTTTCACACTTGGGGCTGAGAAGACGATTTTCCATCAAGACTCTTCTGGAAAATAGTAGGGAAGGGCTTAAAGCAATTTGCTGTTGCACATTCATCTCTTATTGCACCCTCCTAGCACAGATCTCAGGACTTTCATTTGCTTTTTAGCCCTTAACAGTTGTAAAGCATCCACAAATACTCAAGCCTAGGGACCTTGCTATTTTTCAGCTGGAAGACTTCAAAAGGTTTCCAAAGGCCGAAATGAAAAGGTGTTTTTATGTTTCCTAGAGAAAATCTTGTGCTGATGCAGGAAGTGCTGATGTTTGAAAGATAAACAACCAACCACACTCACTGAGAAATGGCACAAAACATCTTCAAATTTGCCTCAGCCAATGTTTTGACCTCAGCAAAGCGACCAGCCAGAACGAGCTGGAAAACTCTCAATATTTGGGAAAAATGTGGCACCATCCTACCATCTCCAATCCAAAGAAATACATGAACACATTGTACTTCTGGAACAATTCTGGCCCTGACTGCATTTTGGGGCTAGAAATGCAGACAGCAGAGGAAAGGGGGACATAAGAGGGACTGTAGTGGAAAACTGGCAGTAATGAGGGATGCTGTTTTTTCCAGAGTCCAATCTAGGAACAAGCCGCGCACAAAGAGCATTGCATCATGCTTACGCTTCCCAGGTATGCCCTGGGTTGAAATTCGGATGGATTTCTGCATTACCGGTGGCCACATCCCTCAAATCCTCTTTCTCTGCATGAAGAATCTTGCCTAGGACATTTAAAATACACCTGTCAAAGCATGAAGTTCTGGCAGATCCATGTTAAGAACAATATTTGCACTGACAGCAGACATGGGCGTCCAGCAGAGATAAGCAATGCAGTCATGTTTAGACACGAGAGTTCATGTCACAGCCTTATCCCAGGACAACCAGTGGCAAAATCCTTTTCTGCAAGAGGCCCAGTGGTTTGGACCCCACTTATTGCCAGCAGACACTGGACCTGGCTGCCTTGCCAGCTGCTAGCTCCATGCCTTCCTCCTCTGTTTGTCAGATATTTGAGGCAACAGTATGCCATTTACCTCCCTTAAAAAATAATAATAACCCCCATGAGAATCTGTCAGATGCTGTTCTCTTCCCACCTATGCCTCCAGCTGTTCTCTCCTTTGTGCTACCTGTTTTGTGCAAATCCAGGTCAACCCTGAAAATAACTTCCTGGCAATTTTACAAACCTTTCACTCTGTGATTTTAGGTAGAATTTCAAACCTTTCCAATAAGATACTGCTTATTGGCCAGGAAGATCCCGTAAATCATCCTGCTTCGATCCCTGGATTGGATGAGAAGTTCCAGCACAAACTTGCCAGGTGCAGTAAACTGTTTCCACAGATATTTGTATTCAGATTAGGTCTCTGCTAATAGCAGCTCACCAGCAGCATTGGCTACAGAACTCCACCATCAGGTGCTTCATCAGCCAAATCACTGAAACCTTACACAAGATGACCTCCTGTTGCCCAGACCTACAGAGCAATACAAAACTGCTGCAAAGAGCTCTTTTTTTTTTATTATCTCTGCACTGAATGGGCTGGATCAACATTAAGGCCTCAGCAACAGGCACTGCAAGGCAGCCCCTGCCCTCAGGAGTTTAAGATCTAAACCAGAGAATAGTCCTTAATTGCTTTTTCTTATGCTGGAATATTTTAGACGAATAAAGCTGAAGGTTTTGAAACACAGTAGCTGGCTCTGAACTATTTGCTTTGTATTCAGCCTGCTTAAAAGGTACCAGGGTGAATTCATCCCATTGGTTTTCATTTGGGCAGAATCCCAGGTCTCTGACTTAGCTCCACATCTTGACTGCACCTTACCACTGTGTCAGACAAAGATCCATGCAAAGCAACAGCATTACCTCTAGCTGATCCTCTGGGAGTTTACATTTATGTCAGTGGCATTCAGGCACCTTCTGCCCCTGTTCCTCTGCTCAGGACCGTGCTGCCAGCGTAAACCAAATGAGCAACAACACTTCTCATGCAGTCAGGAGTGAGCCTGAGTTATCACAGTTAGGGCATGAGTCAGCAAGGCAAAAAAAACCCACCCAAACAAACCCAACACCTACACCTGTGCTCCTGATGTGGTCTGCAGCCCTGGAAGCCTCCACCTGGGAAAGCAAAACAGTTTCTAATATCTCAGCTTTAGTGGGGAATTTCCTTTCTGTAGTTCAGGTGGAGCAATGCTTCAAACAAAGCTATCGCAGCCTGATGGCTGAAGAGGCAATTTAAGGGAAGGCATCCAGTAGCTGGAAATAAGGCTCCATTACATTGTATTAACTATTAAGCTTAGTGCAGTAAGCCAGACAACTGCATACTGAATTAATAATGTTATTTATTCCATTTGGTGGAGTATGGAGGACTCTCGATCGTCACAGCTTTTTAGATCAGAGCTGGCACCAGCAGCTCAGCTTTGAGAGTATTTTATGGAAAACATAGAGGTGGATTGAGTAGCTGAAAGAGAAGAGAGTGTGAATGTGTGAAACACAGCAGATTTGGTAATAATAAAGTTATATGGCCTTGATTCTTCACTTGGCTTCTAATGCTCCAGAAACACTTTGTCTTAGGAAAGCATAACCAAGCCCCCAAAGATAAGTTTAGGTTGGATCTTGTGTAGGATCTGGAGGCACTTAACTTCTTTTTTTCTTGTCAAAACATTTATTATTTTGAAAGCAGAAAGTATCTGCTCAACTCAAACAAAAAAGTGTCATGGAGAAATCTGAAGCATTATTTTTTTATTGGGGAAAAGGAAAAAAAAAATAATAAAAAGCTACAAAGATGAAAAGAGTGCTGATACACTTGTCTAAAAGCAGGTGTTCTCCCCCAGCCCCTTTTAAATTTGGAATCATCAACTACTAAAGAAATACTTGCATGAAGTTTCACACAGTAGAAGCTTTACCTTTTGAAATGGGAATTAAAATATTACAAAGGTACAACAGGACATCCAGGATACCTTCCCTGTTATTATTCTTTCATTTTTTGTGCTTCCTAATGCTGGGCTTTCTGATTGCCATCTGAAAGCCATGTGAAGAAGTCGCTCCCCTTGAAGGAATTAACATTTTCCCCATCACTCAGAGGTACACCCTATCACTACTCCAGTGTATTTTTCAACCCTAACCACTTTCCATTTGCTGTGGGTTCTAAAATTCAGTCTACTTGAGAAAGAAATAACCGATCTGCTATTTCCTGTAACTCCAATTTCCATGCCTTTCATGGAGCAATTTCACTGACTTCACAGGAGCCTATCTAGATTTACACCTGCACAAAACTGAGGCAAAAAACCCTGACCTTTGGCACAGAATATCAAGTTCATAAATGTGTTCTGTATCTCTGTGAATCTCCCCATCTACAAAGGTGAACAGCTGTTGCTATAAATCAGACAGTCTGAACTGGCCATTAGAACTTCATCCAGATGCTCCGTTTAAAATATACAAAGGCAACGTTTTGGAAATCAAATCTACCCTGGTGTCCTCAGGGACACCTTCTGTTGGAGAAAATCTCATAATTCAAAGTTAAAATTAGCTCACTTTAATGCTTTTACAGGAGAACCAAGATACTCAAGAGTAACATTGCCTTGAGAAGGCCTGTTAGATGACTTAAGGGATCCCAAACATCTGGCACTTTGGTACATACTGCATTGGAGACATCCAGCATCTTTTCCAACTTTGCTGTGGTTGTAACTTTGGACCATTCGATAGAATGGCTGTATCTAGTCCAGTTCCCATCAACCATTCTCTCCATTTGAGTAGGAAACACTTGCTAAAGTCTGGAAACAGCTGGTAGAATTGACTGTAGCTTGTATTAGCAAAAAAAAGTTCTTGTTTCTGACCACAGACTGCCCTTTAGATTCTGGCTGCAATTGCCAAGGGCTCCTCATAGCTTTTAGGATGAGGTTGTGTCATCCAAGATGTAGCTGGCTGTTTTAAGGGTTGACCTTTGGAGCATAACACTTGCTGTCAGAACAAATATAGCTTCATGCAAAAGCAGAGGGGAGCAAGATGAGCAGACCCATTCTTCCAATAAGACAGAGGGAGAATAAACTGATTTCCAATTGAGAGAAAGAGAGCTGTATCTTTCATTCTCAGGACATGACATAATTCAGGCAGGCCAACGTGTAAGTCTTACCTACATGCCATTCATCAGAAGTTCAATTCCAATTAGGGCAGGGCTTTCTGGACTGAACTTGCTGCTCCTTCAGTACATAGCACACATTTTTGCTCTTATTCATATGAAGAGCTTAAATGAAGCTCAAAGGCACGAAATGTTTCCTCGGTCACATCAACCACTGCACGGTCACTTGTTTTGTTCCCAAGGTGGCAGTCTCCTCTGCCTGCATCAAAGTCACTGCTTCATCCTGAGAAGTAAGACCAAATAAAGAGTCCTGTTCTGTCAGGTTTTGCCATTCATCTTTCTAACAGCACTGGAGTGTCAGACACAACACGAACATGGAAAAATCGATCAAATACAGACAGAGCTCCACTTTGAGCCTCCAGACAGTCACACAGAGTAACAAGCTGAGCTCCTTTCACTCAACTCCATGTGTTATTCTGAGGCTATGAAAAGGAACTTTATGATACGCTGGAAGGGGTGAAGTATCAAAAACTAGACTGAAGAAACCGAGAGCTTGGATTCTTTTTCCTTTGATACGTGCTTATGTAAATTCAAATAAATATGCCTAAATGCCACCTTTCTTTAATACTAGCAGAGCTTATTAAATCTATTTAAGTTAGACAAGCTAGGCTTCATGTAACGCCAGGAACTCCCCAGACAGCTTTCTTTCCTACTTAATATGATACTCTACAATTACACATACCAGAGACTTCCACTCCAGCATTTTAATTTACAAATACTTTTTACATTTTTTAATGTCTCTGTGGGCAAGTAGGCATTAAGAGTCTACTTTGTTCAAGAGCGATCAATCGAAGTGTGGAGAGGCAGCCTGTTTTGCTCCAGATCACACACTGCACTAAAATACTACCAGAGTTTGGAAGCCTCCTTCGTTGCCCCTCCTTGGTATTCAGGCACAAATAGAATTTCTAATTTAATTCATCATTTAAAAGCAGATATATTATCTGAATGCTGAGCCAAATGCTCCAAACAGAGACACAGAGTACAAACTCAGTAGCAAAAGGCCACATGAAGCAAGTAGAGACTAACCTTAACCAAAACTGGCCACAGTGAGGATGTCCATCACTCCTTCCTCACCAAGGGAGCGCTGCTCTCTGTCACAAAAATCTGTCAGACATTTCCTCCATGTCTCTTCCCAGAGCCAAGTATTTTCTAGGGGAGAAATAGGTATTACTAAACTATACCAACTCATTTTTGTGTTTTCTCAGATATCACACAGCAAGTGGGCTTTATGGGCAGTGCAGCAAGGGCAGAAGATAAACCCCAAGGTGCATGGGGAGGTTGGATCTGTAGGAAGGTATCTGAGCTGCAGGAGGGAAAGCTGGGAGATGAACAGCCCTGGGGATGGCTTGGAGTAAATCTTGCACTAGCATTTCTGTTTGCAGATCTGTTCCTGAAACACTCAGTGCACAATGTTTCAAGGGGATAAACTGAAAACTGCCATCCCTGCACGTAAGTAAAGGGAATTGTCATAAAGCTAACAGATCCTTCTCTTAAGTAGCTCCCAAGAATATGAAGTGAGAATGAGGTGCCTAAGAAAATAACTTTCCTGCTGCTTGGGAAAAACACTCCTAGGACAATAACTTTATAGCTGTGATTGATACAGGCTTTGAAAGAAAGCAGGGGTCTGAAAGACTCTGTGTATTGTCTGAACATGAAGAATAAAGACATCAAAATAAAACAGGCATTTTTTTTAAGGTCTGTTCCTTACTTTCAATTATCAGCTCAAGGGTAAGTTGCTGGAATGATTACAGGCTGCCAGTTGCTCTGTGGGAATCTGATACACACCTGGCAAGCACAGGGAGCAGTGAGCTGTTGCTTGTAGTGTTCTGCCCACCCAAGGGACCATCCTTGCATGTCAAGTTCTTTGTGGGTTTCCAGAAACAGATCAGTTGCCACTCTCTGGCTGCCCTATCACTGCCAGAGGTGATGTGGACTTTTTTAAAATGTCTCCACCGAGAATTTTTACAGCCACATTGTGCTCCAAAGGTTGGAGCAGAGAAACATGAACCCATGACCTCTGCAGCTGAAACCCTGGGACTCCACAGGAGCTCTGCAGTTTATTTAATCTGAGGCAGGATTTGCTGCCAGGTTTGAACCCCCAAGACTTCTTATTGCTACACCTTGATGGCCTCCCTGTCGGACACACCACTTTCTATTCTATTTGACAACTGCTCCATGCAGAATAACTAGGTGTGATTGTGGAGTCCAGCAGTGGAAATCATTTACCTGTTGGGTAATGGTCCCACTTTTCTGCAGAACCCAGACCACTGGCTTTGCTGAAGTTGTGATGGACAGAGAGCACGGAAGCTTGCCTTGTGAAGAAATCTATTGGCCGCTCTTCCTTCTTCATGTCACTTCATTGACTTCTGGGCATCCGCAGCAGCACTGAGGGTGGGTTTGTCCATCTGGGGGATCACAAAGCTCCCTTCAAATCCTTTCTTATTTACTCCAGTCAGCTGTGTTGAGCATATCAATTCAATCAGCTATTTTCCTCACCATAAAACCAGATGTGTGCCATCACGGCCCATCTACAGGGACTGAATCAATGCCATTTGGAAAATGCACAATACAAATAAAAAATCCCAAGAAAGATGAGATATGCTGATGTTTGGAGCTCTCAGACTTTCCTAGGTAAATTGCTTTTCTTTTGAGTCCCATTTATTTTTGTTACCTCCAAAGAAATGCTGTTGTAGCCGCATTTCTTGGAAACAGCGTTGCGATCTAATGGGTTGTTACTGATCTGAATTCTCAGGGGAGACAGTGGAGAATAAAGGGAATGTGGTATTATCTTTGCTTCTGGGCATCAGCAACTTCTGCAAGCAGTGTGTGCAGTACATGTCATTCTTTGCTGAGGCAATTAATTACCTTGGTCCCCAGTGAGATGAACTATTCAGCTTAAAAAAACAGTGCAGCTCCTCGAGCTTCTGGCTATTTGGGTAGATGTGTGAATTAGGGGGGCTGTGGTGCTCAGGTTTTGTTTTTTCTCAGAACATGTTCTATTCTTTTCCGATGTACTTCTTATAGACACTGCCACCTGAAGCAGTTCCTCTTTAGAGGAGTCACATAGGAAATGTGGCCTGGCTTCTTCTCAGCTTTGAGTACTGGCTACCAGGTCTCCAGGTCACCTCCTTCCTAAGCAAGTCTGAGGAACAGAGGAAGGGAAGGATCCCTGTGCCCCATCTATACCTGCAGCTACAATGAGGACTCTGTACAGGAACAGAGTGGAATTTGCTGGCTGCTTTAAGCAGTGCAGCTGTAATATGCTACATGCCAGATTGTAGACATTCCTGGCACAGATTTCCAGAATATGAATAAACTTGGGATGTATGTATAAAACAGCACACAACATGGCCCTCAGAGGCCGGGAGAGTGCATGGCAATGCCTTTGTACATACATACAGCCTGAAAAGCCAGGTGTCACTTTCAACTCCAGTGTCCACATATGCCAGTCCATTACTTCAGTGTATTGGAGGAATTATAATGTCATACCTCTCCAATGCACAGCCCCACTTCCAATTGCAGTGTCCCCTGATGACTGCCACAAGATGTAGCAATGAAATACCACAAATATCATGAGTAGGGAGGCAAAGAGAACTTGAGAATGTGTTAATTAGGAAGGCTTAGGTGGGCTGCAAAGTCTCTAAGGTCATCCATCCTGAGATCCAGCAACAGGGGTAGAGTCACAAGTGATTCACTGCAAAGGGAAGCATTATTTTAGAAAATGAATAATTAAAATTCAGGAACTGAGGAGCACTTAAGCAAGCCAAATCCTAATGTCTGTGTAAGTAGCATGCCCAGTGTGTGTCTAGTCCTGTGCCATTATAACACTTCTTTGGAAAAAAAAACACAGGGAGAATGGGACTCCACAGGCAGCAATTAAATAGTCAGGAAAGATACAGCGACCCCACATCTCACAGCTGAGTACTCTCAGTCTCTGGGGAAAGACTGCTGCCATATCGATGTGAGGAGGTTTTCTCTGATGCAAGCTGGTGCATCAGACCTCGCAAGAGGCAGTGGGGGTCTTTCTGATGACACAGTGATAATGACTTTGCATCACTGAGTGCTGTTAATTAAAACCAAAAGCAAGAGAATGCTTTCCAAAGATTACTTGCTATTTTTCCTCCCCGAGTTGTTTGACAATTTAAAGAGCGGAGCTCTGTGTGGGCACAAGTCCAAACACTTAAATTAGGCCAGAGGTAACTTGTGTCCCTGGCAAAACTGCCATAGCTGCAGAGAGAAACAGGTCAGCAACAACAAATTCTGGAAACATACACACCCAGACAGAGGGTTTAAAAGCATGAACATGGCATATGCTCCTGAGCTGTGCTTTACACACCACTATGTTGCACAGTGTTCCTTCTCCTCTCCAGAGCAGAGAGAAACAAATCTTTAAACATTCACGGTGAACTTTCAAATCAGTAACATATGAAACTTTTTCTAAAAGGTGAAGATGTTGTAAAAATCAATGTCAGCGAGAACACTTTGCCAACTCAATTATGCTTGTTCCTCTCAAACTGAAAACAAACGAGAAAAAGAGACAAGAAACAAAAAAAAAAAAAAGGAAAAAGAAGTGGGCTTATTTCAAGCCCAATAAGTGTTCCTTGGGCTAACATCCCAGTTTGGTAAATATTCTGAGGGCTTCTTATGCCAAGTCCCCTCAAGGGGTCATAATTAACTTAACATAACATAATTAACCCTAAATAGGGCTACCTTGTTTCAGAATCTGTCTCATTTTAAGCAATATTTCTGTCCATGTCCACAGTTTTAAAATAATGTTGTGTCTATTAGATGGCATGAAAGTGCCCCAGAAATGGAAATCAGCCATCAGAACTTAGACCCAAATAAGTGTGATTAGACATGGCAGCTGTCTAGAAAACATTCAGCTATTTCACTGAGTCTTGGACAAAATATGAATGATTGTACCCTTTCCAGTAAGTGCAGAACCAGAAAGGCTCCCACATCACCCTCTGCTTCTCAAGGCAAATTTTGTTTCAAAGGTTGACCCCAAAGAAAAAGAAAACAACAGATATAAGTACAAACAGCTGTGCTCCTGTGGGGTTAGCTGGAGACTGCAAGGAGCAAGTGAATCACTCACCCAAAGACATGCTGTACATAGCACCCAACCAGACTGCAGAATGCAGGCCACCACGGGTAGGGCTGAATGGCGCAGCAAAATCCTCGTCCAGCAATCATAACAGTCCCAGCCTCCGAGCAGGCCTTGCACTTTTGGTCTTAACATGGACATGTCACCTCCATACTCTCTGGAAAGGAAATAAATGTCTGTCCAGCAGGCCGATGTGGGAGTCTTTTCACAGTGCTGAGCAGGGAGATCCTTTACCTCTAAGTGGATAAGCACCAACGCACGAGACTGAATGCTGTCCTGTGCCCTGCTGTGTGATACATGCGGTTCAATTCCAGACTCCTCGCTTCACCAGAACAAAGATATCAGAATGTCCTTGTATGCAGGTCACCATATCCCAGTTCTTGTCAATCGGCCGTCAGTAATCTTCCCATAGCTGAAAGAGAATGACTAGGAAGTAAATACCAACACCAGTGATTTCAGAATGACCTTGGGCACTCTCCTATGACAAAAGTCTCATAAACAGACACCAAATACAAAATCAATTACAGAATACCCTGGAAATCTGTACTTGGTTATCTTGAAACTAAACCACGTCAGGAATTTGGGTGAGTTTTTACTTAAAGACTCACATTATTGGCGCTTGATCAGATACAGATAAGTTAGATTTCCAGCTTGTAAAGAGAATAATGCAAAAGGAATTGGAATAGATTAATTTCACATGTTTCATTTCAGGACAGGTAGTTTTCTGAAGCACTAAGACAACATTTATATAGAACTAGATTATAATGGAGCTGTAATTTATGGGGAAAGTTTTAAAGGTTTAAAGCCCAACAGTTTTTGCAGCACTTAAAAAGTTTTTTTCAATATGGTGCCAAACCAATAAGATTCACAAGCTGTTGAACATGTGATTATTACTATTTTTACCAAATACTTGATTACATTACTTGGTTTGCCCCTTACCAGGGGAACAGAGTTCTAAAGCATAGTTTGTGGTTTTCTAAGAGTCAGAATTATTATCACATTTTCCTGATATTTTAGTGCAATACCAATCACAAACACAGCTGGGGTTTGTCCACGTCCTGCCTGTGCCCTCCACAGAGTACCTGCACTACAGAGATTACTATTGCAACAGACAAAAAGATCGAAGCACTTCTTGCAATGCACCTGGGCTGTGACAAGGATGTTCAGTGCTAATACGCTTCTCACTGAAATACTGAAGGCAAGTTGTGCTGCCATAGAACTTTGGAATCTGCATCTCTAGAGAATGGGGTTATATCATCAAGGTTCATGATAAAACTTCACTGAGCAGAGCACGCTGCAGGACACAGACCTCAATAAACTCAAAATATCCTCATCAAGCCTTCTGTTCTCCAAACATCTCTGCTAACGCTATGGAAGCAATAAAATACTTCAAACATACTGCACAGATCAGCTGGAAATACTCCAAAAATATCAGTGTTTTTAAGCTATTCCCTTCTCTGCTAAAAAGGTATCATATCTTGTTCTTCACCTAAAGCATTGCTAGACAGGAGGGAACAGATACTAAAACATTTCCAGGCATGAAATTAATAGAATACTTTGTAGTTTTATTGGGGAAGAAATACAGAATGGACAGAAAATATCCCTGTAGTATCTTTTCACAAATTAACTGGCAGACCTGAAAGCCATTTCTCTCCAAAAGCCTGGACTGAAGTTACACTGGATCTCATGAAAATAGCCATGAAGTCTGGTTTACCAAAGTGACTCCAATAGCATTAAGTAGTGTTAGACTCTATAATAATCTAAACAAAGTTTGATAGAAATATGATTTTGCAAGTTAAAATGAAAATACTGAATTTTCCATGGGGAAAACACAGATAATAAACCAGCTAGGGAAAATGTGTTCAATGACCATGTGGATATCAGTATGAAAGGCAAGCTTTTTTTATCGTATCACCTCATTCTTGTTGATTGTTAGAAAACTGAAAAGCTCCCTGCACAAGGTGATGGAGAAATCCTGTTGGGACCTGGCTGTGGATACTGAATTGTTTTACTCTACTGACTTGTTTAGCTGAACTGCTCCTGTGTGGTGGTTATGTTTCTCCCCCCAGACACCTCCATGAGCCAGTCTGTGCTGCCATGTCTACCCTACAGGTGGGGAGCAAAGGCAGACGGCAGTAATGGGCCAGATTTCCAACTGCCCTTGTCCATGGAAATTAAAGTATTTGTTGAAACACAGCTCTCACATGCTCATGCAGGGTGCTTGATTTCCTTCCAGCCCACTCCAATGGGAGCCTTCTAAATAGTGTAAAATACAACACCTGAACGTTATGATGGAAGATCAGAGTGACCTGTTGCAGAATATGCTGGCTACTGCGATCCCAATGGCTTTCCTGTGCTCATCCTCACTCTGACTGGCTGGAAGTGTCAGCAAACCACGTGGAATGGCTGCGAATGACTTCTGCCCTCAAGACTGTGAGCAATGCAGCTTGTAAAATGCAACAATAAGGACACCATTGGTATCTGTTCCAGCTCATCCTTATGTCAATAACCACACCACATGGAAGGTGTTCTGAATGCCTAGCAAATGGTTTCCATATAGTTTTGGGGAGGAATGTGGCTTTTCAGGTTAGTTCCTGAAAATTCTGAAGACAACTTAATAGGTCAGGGAGTTTCTGCCCCAGGAACTCCACTCTGCTTTATGTGAAACTTGCTGAAACTTTTAGATATTCTCCTGAAGATTTTCTGAACTGCGTCTTTAAAACAAACCAGTGCCCAGTGACAAACCAGTGTCACTTTCCTGGTGGTAATGGTACTTCAGAGTTATTAAGAGAGACTATCCACCAGGGAATTTCTGAAGGCAAATCTGGACTGTTTCTTATTTGCACATTTCTCTTTTACTTTATGTTTGAACACAGACTTGGGATAAGTCCAAGAGCTCCTTCAATCCTCCCAAGCTGCAGTCTTACTCACAAACTTAAGAGCATCCACACAATAGCTGTATTCCTATGTGTCAGACCTCTCAGCAAGCTCCCAGAAAATGGAGGCTTGTAGGTGTGCATTCTGCCAACAAAGCAAGCAATCTTAAAAAATACAGGCTTTCAATTATGATTAAAAGGCCAGGTAGCCTCCAAGCCAGAAGAGAATAATCTCTCTGTCTCTGTGAAGTCCCTTCCTTTCCAGCGGCTGTACTGGTGGTTGCAGCCAAGCCAGAATGAAAGATGCTTTGCATGACTTTCAGTGTTTACTCTCACAGGAAGCACAGTATCCTGTCTGGCTGTTGGTATGCTCACCACCTGATTCCAGCACACTCCAAACAGCAGCCTTTTTACACAAGCAGAATGTGCTGCAGTTTAAATGCTGGGAAAAAAAATAAGCAAGAAGGGCTGCTCTATTAATTGGTGGGTCAGAGCACTATTTGCTTAAGTGTTAGCACCGAATCAAGCTCTTCCTTTTGCAGCCCAGCAGGGAGGCTCGGTGCTGCATGTCTGTGCCCTTCATGACTAACAAAATGAGGGCTCACAGAGACACCACAGTCCTCTGAGTTCTCCATTCTACAGCCTTCAGCCATCTGTGAGGGCGGCAGGAGCCAGGGCAGGACTGTGAAAGGAACTGAAGTCTACCTTACCCTGCAGGACAACCAATGGTTACAACATGTGTTCAAAAATGGTCCCTCCAGACAACAGTTCTGTGACTCTACAGTGTGATTTCATCAGTAACACTGAGTGGTTTCACCTTTTGCATTTGGAGGCGTGCAACTCTGAGCCCACCGTTCAGAGCATGTTGATAGACTGGAAAAGGTTCAAAGGACCACGAGATTACTTACAAGGTTGCAAAATAGCTTTCAGGCAGAAGTAACCAGGACTGCAACTTACTCTTCCTGTTATAGAATGTTCTTATATCCTCTCGAAGCAGAAATACCGGGAATAAAACTGATCTTAGGATTTTCATTCTGGCAGACAAGAGATACACACGAGATCTGGTGGCTGTGGCCTGGTGTGAAGATTTCCAACAACTGGAGCAATGCATTAAGGTAATCGGCTCTTCACTGCTGACTACCTCTGAAGCGAGACCAGACTCCTTTCCCAGACACATATTCAGTTCAAAATACACTGATCTGGAATCGATTTTTACCGCTAGGCTCTGCGTTACATGGAGGAGTACAAGTGATGGCCTGTTAGATTCTCTCCTTAGGTTTCTAAGAAATGAGGAATCGCCCTAGAAATTTGGGAAACCTCTGATTCTCCTTTATGCAACTATTTGTTGACTTTAAGACATATTTTACCAGCTCTGCCCAACTGATGTGAAACTTACAGCTCCGCCACAAGTTGTGTCTCCCAGGTAGGTGGCTCGTTGCTGAAGCCTTGCAATTTTTTTCCTTGGAATTGAACAAAGGGAAAATTCACAGGTAACATGTGATCTGTAATTTCATACAATAGCTCGCTGTAAACTCTCTGCTTGTGTTGATTCAGTAACCAAGGAACCCCCAAGATACATTTCTTAAAAATCAACTAAAAACCCTCTCCAAACAGCACAGAAATGAATAATCTCAGGTTGCACACAAAACCAACCTGGCCTTTTATCTTTCTAATAAACGTAGCAATATAAACACAACTATAGACATTGTTTTCTAATTAGGAGAATGTGCCATGGGATGTTTACAGACCCCTATGGAAATGTATGGACATTTGGTTGCTTAGCAAACGACAGAACCTGAAAGATGCCTCAGCTAAGACATTTACAATTAGTTTGGCAGGAGTGGAAATAAAAACTCTAGAAGCAAACATAAAGAACATTGACCCAAGAAAGGCCAAGACATTGCTAAGGAAGGTTATGCAGAGGTACGCCTTACCAACAATTTTTATTTGGATATTAGCTTACCACAACTTTGTGTTTGTGAACAGCTGAATTCAGACTGCCATTGAAGACTTGCAGGGAGCACCCACACATGGAAGCTGCTGTGTGGCCTGGTCTGCCACTGGGAACTTCAATCCTGCAGAGCTGGATATAGCTGGGCAGACACTGTTTATGAGAGAACAGAGTGAAAAAAAATCAGTGAGAGACTCATTTGCCATGTGGAGGTGAGACCAAAGGGAGATGCATGTGGCACGGCTCCTACAGAACATGTTACCTGATGGATGGGTGACCATCTGGATTTATGGGTCTGCACCATTTGTGACTGTGGCCTTGGTCTCTGAAAGGAAAACCTCCTGGAGTCTTTGAGGTGCAGCTGCGTATGAGAACCAGTCACCCTCAACCTTGTCTTTGCTGTGAGCCATGGAAAGCAAGTTCCTGTGCTGCTGGCTTTTGTGTTCTAATAAACAAAGGAACCTAAATGGACAATTTAATTCTTACAGCCATTGTGGTTAGCTCCAAACTACATGGTTGTGTCAGTGTCACAAGGGAACTCTTCCCTTCTTGTACACAGTTAGCAGTTCTACTTCCAAATTTTCTCGCCTTTATGGTGACATTGGTTTTATCCTCTTGGAAACTGGAAATAACAAAGTCTGGTGCAAAGAAACAACGTGCTGTCTTTCAGGTTAAGTAGTCGAATAGACATGAGAAAACATTGTGTGCTTGCCTGCGAAAAGAACTTTCCTACAACATCATCTCCCATAGTAATATTACCACAACTACAATCACATCTACCCCAAATACAACAGAGAGATACATCATGCAAAATTACTTCCAAACTATGCTGTCTTCACACAACATTCCTTTACCTTGGAAAAGCAGGAGGAAACCTGCCTGCACAGTAAGTCAATCAGATGGCAATACTGCAAGCATTTACTGCTTTACTGTTTGCCCCCTCCTCACTCCCACAGCCCAAGGGTTTCACCTCCTAGTGCCTGAGTTTGAAAGGGTGAAGTGCTGGGATTTAAAGGTTGCTCTGATTAACAGGAGCTATTAGTGCTCTGTTACGGGAATTAAGTTACTTAAGTCCTAGATACAACTTGAGAAGAATTTGTTTTTAATTTGAAACTCTGAATTTTGTGTAAGAAAAAAAAAAAAAAAGCATGGTCAGGTTGGTTTTTATGATGAGGTGGTGAAAAGCTAGGTGAAATTAACTCCATAAACATTAGCTTGCTTTGCTTTTGGCCAAACAATTTGCACACCTAAAAGGTGCAGTTTGCAGCAGCTCTAATCCCACTTTAAGAGATACTTCAGACCAGCAGCTTTCAATCCTGTCAGGGATTTTTTCCCCAGTACAAATGCATAGCTTTAAATCATGAACTTTAACTTGCTGGTACTACCTCTCTTACCCACCACAGGCCTTCAGCAATAGTCCATTCCCTTTGTGTTTCTATGGAGCACTGGGTCACAGCTGCTGCTCGCATAACCAGCCCTATTTGCGTCACTCAGCAGCAGCATTTCTGCCTTTATTTTACTGCTCAGGAATACAAGGTGTGGTGGAGCAGAGGGAAGGAATGTTTGCAATGGCTCTAATCTGCAAAGATGGGTTCCAGCTGCATTTCGCATATGATTTGGGGTTTGGATGAAGTTTTGACAGAATTTCTCCATGAATTATGCAAGAGGCTGCTGGAATGCTGCAAGTACACAGAGAGACTTGCTCAGGCAGCACTCAGACAACACACTGCCATCCAACACATGAACCAAATCAAAGCCCACTCTGAAAGGCACAGCGGGGAGGGAAAGAAAGAAGTGGACCCCCAGTGCTTGGGGTGCCAAGGTAGGGACAGGCAGGCTGCCTGCAATGAGGTGCTGCAATGCAGCACTAGATGGTGCTGTATTTTAGAAATATCTTTGCCTTGTGGGTCCTTTTATATTTGATGAGGGCTCAGAGATGTGGCAGACACACACAAATACTTCTTTTGAGACGCACTGCTCTCTCTCAAAGGAAGTATGGATTTTGTTTGCTATTTTATAGCATAGGATTTAACATGGATTGATTTCACAACTGCTGAGCCGCCAGTTAAAATCTCCAGGTGCTTTTGGTTTCCTTTGAGTGGGTGAAAGGAACTTCAGGGCACCATGGAAAGTGTGTCAGGACATATGCTGTATGCCCATGTCTGCTCTTCTCTGACTTAGCCTCTAGCTACCTCTAGGGTTTACTCCTACTGCTGTTTCTAACTGAACTTGAGCTGGGTCTACTTGATGTATTTCTAAAGATGCTGGGCACTGATTCAAAGCTGGCCAATTACCCTCACTCTCAGCCACTCCAGCTGGCACTGCTGGGATGCAGCAGTTGGCCTGATCCATACAAGGCTGCAACAGGCAAAGAAGCTCTCTTCTCTGGGACAGGAAGGACTCTGAGACACCTGCTTGTTCCAGTCAGCTGTCCAAGGAGTGCATCTACGCACACTCTCTTCCCTCTAACTCCAGAGGTTTCTTTGATCCCAGGTTCAAGTGAGTTCAGTATCCTGGCCACAGACAGGGCAATCCAAGACAGGAAAGGGTATTTAATGTCAGAAAAGATCAGGGATGCAGTGCAGCAATGCTCACTTGGCAGGAACACGAAGAAGGGAGAAGGAGATGTCTTTTAGAGAATCTGCAAGATGCCAAACCAGCTGGGACAGGTTATTAGCCTAGGAGCCAGTTCCATCAAGGAATCATTCAATTTTCTCTATCGGGCAACAGCAGTCCAGATGCAGCTTCTTAGAAGGAAAGGATGAAAGGAAAGGATGAAGCAAACTTTTGTTTTTTTTTAAAGGAAAAGGTGGTTCTACATTGAGGCAGTTCTAGAGGGTCTGTATGGAAGGCCATGTAGGATGCATATTGGCAAAACCAGAGTATCTGCTGCAATGCCTCATTGCTGAGTGAGAAGTGGTTCATCACTGGTTGGGTGCTGAGCAGCCTATCCCATCATAAAGCATAGCAAGGTTTAGTTTGGCAACAGAGATTGATATCTGGCTGCCTGGGTCTGAGAGGGGAGCAGTGAGCCAAGAAAGTGCTGCTCCAATCTACTGAAGTACTCGTGCTTGGGGCTGGCATTACTCAGAGTCAGCATTTAAATGAAGATGAAAGGCTTGTGATCATATTTGCTTTATAGTCTGCAAAAATTCAACCAAGGATTGGAAATGATGAGGTTTCCCACTGCAGATAAAAGTCAGCTATGGGATGTGTTGTGCTCTAATGTCAATAAAAGCTTGGTAGCTATGTGAAATGATGAGCCTAGGAGCCCTCTAAGATACATCCTAGTGCTATGGGAATTAGCACTGCATAGCAGACGCCAGAGCCCTTAGCAAGACTTTCTCCTCTTACCTCAAGTCCCTGTGGCATCTCTAATAGGACAAAACATGCCAGTCCCAATGGCTCTGTGTAAATTGGAGAGGTCTAAGGAGAAAGAAAGAGGAGATTGCCTGCAGCAGACAGCCCGGCAACAGAATATGTCATGTCATACCTGAGGATGCTATTCTGAGAGCTCAAGACAGGTTGAAAGAAGATTTATTCCACTCACTGGGGAAAAGCGTTGGAAGGGGTTGGCATCTCTCCCAGACAAGAGTGAGTGGTGTTGCAAAAAACAGCCCAGGAAAAACAAAACATGCTTCCCCTTTGTAAGGAAGACCAGCCAAACTGGGTCTTACAGCCTTGGCTCAGAGTCCATCTGCAAAGTGTCTGCCACAGTCTGCTCTCACCGCGACAGATTGCGTGGGCAGGAGGACACTGTTGGTCAGAGCTTAGGGCAACAGGACCAAATCTTTGCAACCTCTCCCTATCCTGTTTACGACTAGTTCTGACAGGTAGCAGGGATCAGAGCCCTACAGCACTCCAATCTTTGTCCTCCCCTCGCTCATCCGTCAAATAAATGGGCAAGCAGAGATACCCAAGCTCACACTGTTCTGCTTAGTTCCCCCAGCTCTCAGCTCAACTTTTAACTCCTTATACTTCTTTCAGTTTTATCAGACATAATGTTTTTTACATGGGTTACTTTGAGGAAAAATTATTTAAGGTTTCTACTATAAGATTCAAGGATGGGGGAAAAAAAAGTCCTGAAGTATCTGCAGTATCCCACAACTGAGAGGGCTGTGGAACTGAAGGACAACTTGGATTAAACCATTAAAGGTGTTTCAATCAGTTCAGTTCTCAGGGGAAGATCCAAGAGTAGAGAATCCAGCCAGGAATGGCAAAGAGGGCAGTGGGAGAAACGTGGGGAAGGCTGTGAGGGGAGATATCTCCTCACGTACACCTGTCCTGCAGAACATTGTGGGTTCGCATCCATCTGGACGTTGCCACTGCTGGGGATGTGGGGAGTTTAAAACCTGTTGTGTACGAATAAGGGAGACATTACAGTGTGCTCTATTACTTGCTGACCTGCCAGGAGATCCCTCAGCAAAAGAAATACAGTCGTGCCCTGCTACCCTCGTACACCCGATTTGTGTGTGGCCCAGTTTCTGACTACTCATAAAGTAGCCTCTGTTTTAGAGGATCCAACTTCTCAGTCTCTCCATGGGCAAAGCCAGGATTTTTTTGGGCTTGCGCCTGCTGCTGTCTTTGGGATCTGCCTTACTGCTCCTTCTTGAATTAGAAAGTATGCACTACTGGCAGCTAGAAGCACAGTCTCCTCTCCCCACATAAGGCCAAAGACTCATTTCTTCTCTTCAAGTTTAAATAAAGCTCTACTGTTTTGAAGTGTTATAGAGGGCTGGCTTTTGTTCTTTAACTACTGATCAGTGCCTTGCAGCTCTAGGCCATCAGGCCACCACTCAGCTCCTCTGCACCACGTTGCCAGGCCAGCTGCCTCTGGCTGGACAGAGGAAGCATCTGTCTCATTCCCACCTGCATGCCCAGATAAGCACACTAAGTGATTCACTGGATCTCCTGTTGGAAATCAGCCTAGAAGTGGGGGGTGAGGCAAATGCTTTTTCTGTCCCCAGCTCAAGTTCCCCTAGACACTGCATAAATACCTGACTCTGGCTGTGATACAGCAGCTTTTTTTCAGCAGAAACATGGAGAATGAAAACTCAGGGGATTGCTCCAGTAGTGTTCTCAGGACTTAAAGCAGCCATCTTGTGCAGAGAAGACAAAGGCAGATGAGCAGAGATGAAAAATATGGGTCTGAAGAAACAAAGCTAGTTTGTTCATGGTATATAATCACACGAGTAGCCCAGTCTATGCTATATTCTGAGCTATGGCTAGGGGCAATTAGAACAAATCTATCTGAGTTTAATTTACTAAAATAACATCCCTCTAGAAGTAGTTGGAAATCCTCCGTATTTGCATTTCAGTTGTGTCATTTCTCTGCCTTTAAAAGTCAGTGAATGCCAGATGTTTCTGATTTCTCTTTCCAGCAAACAGGTATCTTGCCCAAACCATTCCATTTAAGTTAGACACAATTTGCTGCAAAGTTAGTTTTGTAGAAGTGAGAAGGGAGCAAAGGGGAAGGGACAAGCAAAACCCAAGAGCTGCCAGCATCTATCATGCAAAATGACTCTGAAGGAAATGGGGGACATGCAGCTGTCATGGCAAACAGCCACAGATTGAGGGCATGAAGCACTAATGAACAGGAAGAGCAAAGCCAGAGCCACAATTTTATCCCCTGTTGATATCCTACAAGAAAAATGATCACAGAGAACATTTATTGCCCCCTAACAAGATCAAGCTTAATAGCAAAGCTACACATGTTATTTACTTCAATGTTTGTCTATTGCATAAAGCAGAAATGTCTGTTGCCTGGATCCTCCCTGCCTGCTGAGGTCCTTTCTCTCAGGCTGGCTGTATACAAGGGAGGTAGGTTGAAAAGATCCCAGAAGGGGTTCTAATGCTGGGGAAGATGATGAATTGCACTGGGCCCTAGCTTAATTACAGTATGGAGAACATGTAATGCAAAACCCTGTCCATCATGCCTCTTGCCCAGCTTGTACAACCTATGGGACACAAGCAATTAACATTCTAAAAGCTGTGTAATGTAGAATAAAACAAAGTGTGCTATCACACCCAGCAGGTTCAGTTTCATATTGGAGTGGCTGTCTAACATGTCCTCTTAAAGTGCCCTGATTTCATGAGGCCTTTTGTATAGAGGATGAATCCCACCTATGCATGTAGTAAGCCTTGGGTAGAAGAACATGTGCTCATAATGCAGGGAAATAGAGGATACTGAAAATGAAAAAAGATGTGAGAAGCAAGTCAGAATGTCAGAGAGGACTTGGAGTATCTGGGCTGGACAGTGAGAACTGCAGAGAGTAGTGGCACGAAATCTTTTAGTCAGACAGAAGAGAGACACAAACAGGCAAATCACTGCTCCTGTACTTGGCAGTTCCATGCCCCAGCACTCACAGCTGCAGCACGTGCTCTTGCTATATGAGTTTTCCAGAGTGTTCCCCTTCAGCACGCTCACTGGAAGCAGTACCTGCTCAGCAGTCTCTACAGAGAACAACAGGCTGGTTACTGCCCACCTGTTCACACTGTGCCCCATGAACTGAACCATTTGAGATTATGCTTTGCTAGACCAAGTGTACTGTAAACCATCTCTGTCCCAACTTTATTCCATGTTTATGAGCATCTGTCAACCTTGTCTACCTCCTTGCTCCAAAGAGGAACAGTAGGGAAAAAGAAGATCCTAATGTTTAATTTTCAAAAGATGCACCGTTATCTGCTTTTCTCATATCCAATAGGATATGCCTGGTTGTCAGGGAGGGGAAACTAGCCCTGGCACAACAGAAGCAGCAGTTCTAAAAATATCCTAAACACAGCACAGAAGAAAAGGAAGAGACATCTTCATCTGTCAGGCACCGTTTTACAGTTACACCCTGTGGATGCACATGATTGATTGTCTGAGTATGCCTGCCACATGTGAAAGCATCCCAGGAGCAGTCAAACAGGAACATACAACATACTATTCTTATACTGATGTAATTGTTTTTGTTTTGTTGTGTTCTGTTTTTTAACCTCCAAAAGACATTAAAAATGTGCAAGGAAACAAGATGCAGGGTACCTGAGTGCAGTGACAGAAGACAAACAGGAGAGACCTCAGCATCAGCATGAAGCAGCAGAAAGCAGGGCTTGGGGGGTACCAGGAGACATGTAAACTCTTAATGTGCCTCGGAGGGAAAAACAGTGGCTGACAATGCGTCTGCTTGTGAACGAATACCAGCACGTGCTCTCTCCTCCAGAGGTGAGAAAGAAAGCAACAGACATGAAAAGAAAAACAGAGAAGAGAAAGGGGAGTGTAGTCTGAAAGGATGAGCTGTGAACAGAGGCTCAAGATTTTCTAGGAAACATCGAGTCCTTTCAAAACTGGTGGGGTGCATAGAAAAGGGAGACAAAAGCTGAGCAATCTCCGTGCCACTGGCAGCAATCTGCGCAGTTCTTTCTGCTCCTCCACCATTACAAAGCACTCTGCTGCCTCTTACCTGGCTTGTGGTGCTGGCTGAGCTGGGAGACTTGCTGCTTGGGCAGTTTGGGTCCAGATGCTGTCAGGGCAGCTGCAGGGTCCAGCTCCAGCAGAAGACAAGCAGAAGACAAGTCTGCACTACAAAAATAAAGCATCAAAGCTCACTGAGCAGTTGATAAGAGGGAAAAACAAAATGGGAGAAAGGGCTTCTCTTCAACTTAAAAACACTGCATAAGCAACTTTGTCGTACTGTTTCAGGTCATGTTGCTGCCATGTGGCATCAGGCAACATAAATTGCAACACTGTTAATGCAATGCAGAAGGAAGTACCAATTCCCCAGCTAAAGTCTTGGAGCATCAAACAGGCTGTCAGTAGCTGTTTCACAGGGAGTAATGCTTGCATAGTGATTAGTTCAGCTCCTGAACTTCTACTGAATCACAGTTTCAATGTCTTTCCAATGTTGGAGCCACAAGGAAAAGGCAGACATGTAATGCCACAGAGCCAGCTAGCTCTTACCTGCTTTTGTTATCAATTGGCTCAGGTTTTGGTGTTAACTCTCTGCCCCCGTGTGAAATATAGCAGGAGTAGCATCTGGCTGGGAGGTCTTTAGAACAAATGCATTCAAATCATCAAACACTGTACTGACAGTTCTAGCTGCTTTTAAGTTCAACAGGATGGATTCCCAGCCCTATCAGAGTGAATCAGAGCCCTGAATTCAGTTCCTTCACTTCTAGAATTTGAGTCTGATCAGACGATGTGCAGTCCCCATCAAAAAAGCCCACAGTATTTCCACAAGGTACAGCTGCTGCTATACACTACATGTAGTGATGACTCACATTTGCAGATAAAATTGTTCTGATAATGATGAAGTTAGTCCGTGAATCTTCTTGTAGGGTGCAGATCAACCGTTTCCTTTCTCTTGATTTAAACAAGCTGGTAGGAATGCTTTACTCTCATCTGAAAGTGAGTTTATCAACTCACAGTGCACCTGAAATTCCATAGAAAAGAGACACTTCTGTCTCAGGACATCCACCCACAACATCCCTGCCAAGGCAGAGAATTCACTGACAACACGTGGTGCTGCTTCACAGAAGTGAGGAAGAATCTTCCCAGGCTCTAAAATCACAATTTCCCTACTTGCAGACACCAAAGAGGCAGAACTGATCTTTCATGTAGGAGTCATCCCCTTCAACTTTCCTCCAGGCCACCACTGCAAGGCAAAAGCAAATGAGAGACTCTGGTTTCCTCCCCAAGGAAAGAAATAAAATAAATAAAAAGAACAGACATGACAGAAATAATTTGTCAAATACAACACTAGAGAGCAAGTCCTGCTCCTCACTGACCCATGTGTAACCTCCTTACAGCTAGCTGGGACACACACATGAAAATAAGGAAAGAATTTGGCATTTGGACTTTGAAAAACATCTGAGAAAGCTCCACCCTACTAGCATTAGTTTTTAAATCCATTCTGTCTTCCATGATGCAGAAAGTTCCATTGTGTTAATTTAACTGATGGAAGGACAGAGAGCTGCAATGTAACCTCATTTCACTGGCGAAATCACAATTAGAAAAGCTTTTATCATCGAACTGTTTTGTTTCAGCTGACATCACAAATGCTTTCTCTACTGTCCCTTACCTCCTTTTACTTCTATTTACTTCTCCAGCAAGCAGAGCTGTGAGCGTACCAGCCACAGCATCTCCATTTCAAATGGTTTGGCTTTCCTTTCCACAACACTATTTCCTGACTCTTTTTCCAATCTGTTGCTTGCTGAGCAGAGGATTAGGAGAAACTGAATCAGGCAGAAAAAGGTTTTCTCTAGGCTGGCCTACAAATAAAACCTTTTCCCTCTAAGCTCAGGTACCCAAGCAGCTCCTGCTTTGTACTGGATACACAGAAATCTCCCTAAATTATCTGCATGTGCGCAAAGGGATTGTTTTGAAATTGAACCTTATGAAGTGTATCTTGAGCCTAGCTCAAGTTTGGACACACTGTTGAAATTTGGATTTAATTAATTCCACTTGAGTTTTGAAATGGTGCGATACATTTTTCAGAGGTTGGGGGGGGGGGGGGGGGGGGGGGGGGGGGGG